ACCTAATTAATAATTTCTGATGAAAATATACAGCACTTGCTGTTTTATCTCATCATTTGTTTTTGATAGCTGGAGAGAATATGGCAATATATAGTGATACTACAATATCGTGATAATATTGTATCGTGACCCAAGTATCGCGACATGTATCGAATCGCAACACTCATGCCAATACTCACCTCTACTCCTTACTACTCATCTATTAATGTAAACTATGTGGAGCTCTAAGCTAATAGTTTTCCTGCCGACAGATATATATATGCTATAATAAAAAGTTGTTTTTTTTAGAATTAAACCTGTATTAAAGCTCACTACAACTTCCTCTCAGATCAACATTTTTTTTTTCTTCATGATGCAGTTTACTTAAAATCAAGAAAAATTTGGATTTCATCAAGGGCAATCTAAAAAATAAAAAGATAAAAATACAGCACGATTTTCAGGTTTATCCTATAATTAGAAACAGCCAGTAACCTGAAAGGATTATTTCAATATTGACAACAAATGGACGCATTTATTTTATTTCCATGTCACTGTGATGTGCCCCTTTGTGCGTATCTGTCATATAAAATTGCAACAATAACATCACATCTCGTTTCCACAATGTGACAACATGTGAAAAAGCATCCGCCATATACTTACAGACCAGGTTCCTAGAAGATTGACCAGGAAGTTGCCACTGAAACGTGTCGACAGCATCTGGGAAATCACATACAGATTGGACACCAGGGCAGACTGCAGGATGATGGGGATGTTGGAGGTGTAGAACAGCTTGATGGGGTAGGTGTTGTATTGGCCGCGGTATCGAGCTGACTTGATAGGCAGGTCCACTCTGAAGCCCTGACATTCCCCCCAAAAAACAGGAAAAATGTAACCCACACTCATCTGGAAAACTGAAGATGATTTGGCATAATGCTCTCACCTGGAAGTATATCACCACGGCAAACACAAAGACAGTAGCGATGAGGTTCATGAGGTTAGGCAGGTTTTGTCTGTAGAAAGCTTCTCTTAGGGCACGCACTTTGTCTGTACGGGTGGCCAGCAGGTGGAACAGAGCAATGATGGCTCCTTCAAACTCCGTACCTGGATAAACCACATAAAGCCACCGATTGATCAGTCTAGCACAGCTGAATTCAATCTTATTTCTCTAAAAATGTTTAAATGCCCATACCTCTGCCAGTGTTGACAGTGGTAGGGCTGAAGGCCTTCCAGACGATGGTTTCACAGATATTGGTCGCAATGAAGAGAGAAATACCGGATCCTAGACCATAGCCCTTCTGGAGAAGTTCATCCAGGAGCAACACTATCAGACCTGCAACAAAAAGCTGGAAAAAAAGGCACAAAATCTGAGCAAGACCATGAAGATCAACATGGATCAATTTGAACTGTTTTAAGCCTGAAACTAAAAAGAAACTCTTATTATCATTAGCACCAACCTGAATGATGATCAGCAGACATATGCCAGCGCCCATCTCTGATGGATCTCCATACATGCCGGTCATAACGTACACAATGGCCTGTCCAATGGTGATGATCATACCAAACACTGCATAAAAGACAGAAAATAAAATCTGATTCAACAAAGAACAGATCAACAACAATTGTACACATCCAAAATATCAAACTAAGATATCCAGAAAGGTTTATTAAAATAAAACAAAAAGACTGACATTTCTGAGCTCCATTGAAGAGAGCTCTGTCTTTGGGAGTGTCACCAACTTCAATGATCTTGGCACCAGCCAGCAGCTGCATGATGAGACCAGAGGTGACAATTGGTGAGATCCCGAGCTCCATCAGAGTACCTGGAGACCAAAGAGAAGAACAGCAGTTCTGAGAACCAGCAGAAAAAAACTGAACAGACAACCGTTACCCTTTGGTCTGTCACAAGATAACCTGATAACGCAGGCCAACGGCAGCATCATCTCTTTGTTTTACTTGATTTTATTAGACAAGAAACACACTCAGCCATCAGAATATCGTCACTGATTTTTGGCTTTTAGTGAAATCTTTTTCCTACCATCCCGACTTTAGCTGAGGTAAAGAACTTTAAATTGTCCATGTAATGAATTGTGCCATACAAATAAAATTGCCTTGCCTCACCTATATTAAATAAAGAAAACAGAACAGTATGTTGAATATTATTTACCAAGCCCCCCTGCTGTCAGGAGTGTTGGGCAGATTCATTTAAAAAAAAAGGAACAAGTTATAGAGACTAGTTATTTCTCCAAAAAAGTTGAGTTAGTTACTCAGTTACAGCACGATTAAAGTAAACTCTTTCTAGGCAAACTACTAAATTTTTAATGCAAAAAAAATAAAGGTGAATTATTAAAGGTATAGAGGACAATCTTTTATTTCAGAGTGGATCATGTAATTAAGAGGTCCTCCTAATTGTCAATCATTCTGGTGATATGTTTATGTAAGGCCGTTGTCATGCTCTCCCCTTTAGCTATATTTTTCTGCGAATATTTATGCTAAATATTTTAGAATAAAAAAACAAACAAAAAAACGAAGTAAAGCAGGTGCTTTAGAACTTGATTTCTATGCACCACAGGCTACAACTAGCAGTAAATAAGACTGCATCATAACATGGAATAGGAATTAAAGATACAGAAAAACAAAACGGGAAGATTGAACTTCCAGTATTCCTGTGTCAAAGTATTATATGCAAATTAGGTTAGGGTAATGCTGAAGAAGTGTAGAGTGATGAGTGAATAAACTAAGGCAGTGAGTTGTGAGTCTGTGTTTTGGAAGGTGAGATAATGGAAGTTTCATTTAGATTGGAGCTGCTAGTTACAGACACGGATAAAGACTTAGTTCCCAAACATAGTGAGAAAATCACAGGGACGTTCAGTCTTTGAATTCAGTGATTGCTTCTGGTTTAGGAACGTTATCACTTCCTCTGGGATCTGCGCCACCGCCTCACATCTCTGCTCTCTGTGTGAGCAACCACTGCGTGTTGAATGCCCGCCGACATAACAGCTCCTTAGCCAATCGGTGCCACCTATTCTTCCATCTCAGCTCTCCTGGTACGTCCCTGCACTTACAACTGTCCTCTCTTTCAGCACATATTCCGTCTTTGAAAAGCTGCATTAAATCGATTGGGTTTTAGTAAAATCCTGAGTCAGACTATAAGTATACAGATATGTGAAAAATAAATGGTTAGATAACACTGTTACCAAACAAACAATTCATTAATAACGGTTGTCAAAAATGGCTGTCAGCTGTCACTGATTATTCATATTTAGGATTTTCGAAAAGTAAAGACACTGAAACGTATCTAGATACAGTTCTAATTTGGCACGATATTGATACTTCTACATGTTTGAATATATTTTTTATAGTTAATTTTAGGTTTTTAGGTTATTTATTCTGCACATTTATTTAATTAGCACCTGCGATTCAGCTAATAGACACGTTAAATGGTAGGATTGAAAAAAAGCTGAATTTTACCAAGTTATTTTTTCCCCCCACACCTTTAATTATTTGTCATACTTTAATTCCATTGGGATCAAACATTGAACATTTTCCTGGATGATATCGACATTTTTGTACTGTGATTCATATTAGAATTTGAATAAAACAGAATAGGCAGATGCAACATTACTGCTAATATAACCAGCATTACATTCTGTATTTCTTTTTGTGAATAGAAATAAAACTTTAAAAAAATAAAAAGAGCATAAAAAGAGCACAGAGTAATATTGAAGTTCTCTGTTCAGCCTTCCTCTTATCTGTTGAAAGTCTTCTGTTCTTTCAAAGCCTATAAAAGCTGTCTCACCATGTAGATGAAAGTTTATTTTTCCCACTGAATGTGTTTTTCAAATCTTAAGTGTGGCAGACATTTGACATACACACCTCTGTTGGAGGCCAGGATGACTCTCATCCAGTAGAAAGGATCTGCTGAATCAGATGACATGATCCCAAAGAGCGGGATCTGAAAAAAGTTTTAAAAAAATGTATCATTATGCAAATCAAAAAGGGATGTCAAAACAAATTGTTATTTTAAGATACATCAACAGATACAAACCTGGCAGCACACCAGAAAGATGAATAATGTGATGGCGGTCCATAGCACCTTTTCCCTGAACTGAATCTGTAACAAAAAGAAAAGAGCAATTGAAATGGAACATCACAGTTCCCTAAATAAACTGCAGAAGCTGAAAAAGAAATGCATTCCCTTTTACCCCTACCATTAGAAGAAAAATAAGCAAAAATTGTATTGTTTTAATATCCCGAATACTTTTAAAGATTGTTTTGAACTAAACACCATCTACAAACCAAAGATTTGACCCTAATATTATTGAGATTGAGAACTGCTTTTTGCAGCTTGTGGAAAATTCCGTTTTCTTCAGAAATTCAAATTAGTTCAACCCCATATTCTTTGGAAAACATTGCAAGAAGAATGCTGTTTGGTTAAAAGTGAATTCTCTCATTTCTACTGATATTTCAATAAACTAATTTTTAGATTTGTCTAACTAAAAAGATTATTAGGAGCTGATTACAGACTGTTAGAGGTTTTTATGCTATTATGCAAAAAAATTAAGGAAAAATATAAAATAATTTTTTTCTAAAAAAAAATTAAAATAAAAGTTTAAAACACCACCTTATTTTACAACCTGCATAGATATTCCTTGATCTCAACTGAAACTCAACAAAATGTGATTATAAACCTAAAAATCTTATTTTATTAAAAAGGACCAGCACATACCTTTCTTTCTGGTTTCTGAATCTCTGGCAGGACTGCACAGAAAGGCTTGATGACTTCCAAAAATTTGACTGGAGAAAGAAAAGCAAAAGAAAAAAAGTGTGTAATTAGTTAGTAGTAGATGCAAGACAGACAGCTTGGTTCTGCTGCGTCAGCAATACTTTAGTTTGACCTACACCTTTTAGACCAGGTGAGAGCAGATGCAACGTCATCACTAACCAGCTGTCAGGAAAGCAAAACAACAGGCAAGTTGCTAACATGATTACTGAAGAACATATTTACTTGATAAAGCCTTAGAGCCACTGCTATCACCTCTGCAGCCTGTTTTCAGTTGTCTTTCCAGCTACTGTCACTCAGCTGTCTGCCTATAAAAACCGCTATGTACTCATTTAAAGCAATCCAGGCACCAGACTGAACAACATCTGATAGATACCGCACAACAGTGTTTAAACAGTTGAGAAAAAAACAATTTATCTGTAAATTATGTCAGAGAAGTTAACGTTAGCTACAGGCTAACTACAGTATTTTCCCGCAAACCAGGTAGCAAAAGCGTTCAAAAACCACATCCGAGGCACATACCACTTCATTAACCTTAGTGTAATATGTGCAACTAACTGCACGTTCAGAGATTTAACGCTTTAAACTGATGCTCTTTATAAGGAGGTTCAACTTTCCACCTAACCTGACGAAGGTTAGCCACTTAGCTTCCCTGCGAGAGCTCCCTGCTCCCGGCTTTTTCAGTATGAAAACACAACTGTTGGTGCAGATATACCTCCAAAAAGGTAACAACAATAACCAAGAAGAAAAGTACTTACTCCCCATGGTGTCGTCGGACCGACTCCTGCTGTGTAGCTGTTAAGAGTTTGAGTGCACAGAGGAGTCAGTGTGGCTCCATCAGCCGCCGCGAGAGGAAAGAGAGTTGAAGAGACACGTCACCAGACAAGCCGCATGCACACGTCACTTCTCCGACAAAATAAACCTGGGGTATTATCATGCTCCAAGAGCAGTATGCACACATGTATGGGGATACCAATTGTTTTTGAGTGCCATACGAACAATTTTGATGCAAAAAAGGCAAGCTTTTAACGCTAATATTTTGAAAAAGCGTATGTTATTCGCAAGGTCCGCCTCTCCGCTAGATGGCGCTACATTTTTAAAGTAACCAATGGCTGTGATTTGGTGACTCTCGACCATCCCCGCCCATCTGATTAAAGCTGCAGAACGTTTCTTTTGTTTTGCTGTGTTTGATCTGACAATGCGATGTTATATGGACCCAGGAGAATTATGATGGTCTAAAATTAACCCATATAAAACCATATAAATAATACTCTGTTTAGAGACACATTCTGAAGTGTAGATAGTAGGCCTACCTGTGCAAGGTCAAACAGCTTAACATGAAAGCACGGTCACAGTAGTGTACTCCATTATTTATACAAAAACAATCCTATTTATGTTTTCTAAGGAAATTGGTTGTTGCCTCTCAATCTTGAAAGAATACCAATTGCAAATCACCAGATAAAGCAGGCCAGGATTCCCCAACGGTTAAGGGAAAAATGCAAAACTGCCCAAAATGTTAAGTCAAATCAAGCACAGCATAATACAAATTAAAAATAGAAATACTGTGAATCAGAAGGATGGGTGAAATTCTGATGGGTTGTTGCATTCCTGTCAATTAAGAAGATGATAACATCAGATTAAAACAACTATTAGAATTTTGTAGAAAAGGCATTAGGGACAATCCCCAAAAGTGTTATTTATATTATAAAAATAGAGGTTGTTAGATATGAAAGTTATTCAAATTTTGATTTTTAGGAATCGAACCTTAAATAAAAAATTTTGATTACATTGTTTGATTCTAGTGGAGTCAGTCAACTGTTATTGTGATTTATAGTGGGTGGTTCTTGTTTTTATTAGTTGTAGCTGTATTGAATGACTCTATCATCTTTGTAAAAGTTGAAAAAGGTATAGGTAAATATATTAAAAAGTTAGCTTCCTAATCCAACATTGATTTTTATTCCGAATCTCAACCAGGATGAAATGATTTGTCAAAACCACAAGAGAACAGTGCATAGAATAGATCATATTTTATCGAAGCTTAATGAAATAAAATCATACCATCCCGAAGTCCAAGGTCTGTCAAAAAGGATGACTGTTCAAATACAGAAAAATTTGATAATTGATGCTGAAAGACTGAAGAATTCATGATGCCATAAGGGGTGCATGTCTCTTGCTAACTTACCCGTTTCTTTCGCTTATTTGTGTCACACATGAAAAGCAGACCCTGAGGTAACGTATGACTTCACCCCTTTATACAATATACATACATAAACATGCATATGTAAGCAGACCTGGCTCAAGGCAGTAGGAAGCCCAAAATAGAATTTCCTTTGCACCAACCTTGTTCACTATCAAATAGTGTCCATATTTGATTTTTATTTCCTCAAGTTTATTTTTCTTCTCTTTATTTTTAGATTGTACCACATGATTTCACAAGAAAGCAGTATATTAACTTTTAAATCTTTTTATTTATCATAGCACGAATATGATTTCCTTGATATCAGGGCAACTTGTTCATTTTTTTAACACGTCCCTTGTGAATTCAGTATTTTAGAGTATACCACAAAGTGGCCAGTAATACAAATATTTCTGATCTTTATCTGATGAGATTATGTAACTTAACTTAACTTTTTATTTCCGTAAAAACAATCCACTGTTATTTTCATTGTGTATCAGATTTCTTTGTGTAAAAAACCTTACATTTTTATATTACATTTGGCTTATTATCACTTAACACCACTAGAGGTCGTGGTTGCCTAATTATTGAAATATTTTTGTTTGCTCATTCAATCATTCATAGCCTAATAATTGAACTTTATTGATCTCTCAATGGAGAAATTTACCTCTGCATTTAACCCATCCCTTGAGCAGTGGGCTGCCACTGTGCGGCACCCGGGGAGCAATATGGGGTTAAGGGTCTTGCTCAGGAACCCAGAGCAGAGGCTGTGGGGATCGAACCGAGCACAAGTCTCAGAGCACAAGTTCACTGCTCTAACCACTAGGCCAACAGTCCCCCATAATTCAATTTTATTTATCAGTTTCCTTATACGTATGAAAGGTATGTTATTAAATAAATAGCGTCAAGCACCGAACAAAGACAGTTTATAAGAAGAGTTTACTCAACATCAGATCTGTTTAATTAATTATTGCTGTGTTGAAAGGATATTAACTTAGTGCTGCTGGTATGCTTTGCCTATGGCCCAGACTATAATAATAAGAGTAGAACAAACAGACACACACACACGTACACACAGAGCGAAGAGTGGCCTGAAGGCCGCTCATCTTGATTAAGATAAAGAGATATTTGTTCTCATGGTTACATAATGACCAAAGAGCTGTGAGCTAATAGAGAGGTGAGGACAAGCAAACACCACAAAAAGCCCCCGTAGTCTCTGCTTTTCACAGAAATATGAATAGCCTGTTACATTGTGGCTTAATCTGAGCGAGCAGCCCAAGCTGTCAGCTGTGCAGGAATTCTATTTGACTTTGAATTAAATGTTAAATAAATTATATTTGAATTAAACAGTAAATTATTAATAAAACAGGTCAGCAACAAGGCTTTGCTGTTTCTTAAAAATGATTTCTCATGAGCAAAATGTTCTTATATGTCAGTGGGGACAAAAGAAGAGAGAAAGCGATAGATATAGATTCATATTAGCATGATTCCTCCATGCAGCACTCATAGACCTGTGTTACCTTGCAGCAGATGTTCTGTTTGTCCTTACTGTTTGCTTTATGTAATACATGGAACCACAAGCAAAGTAAATTAGGCACCAAAAAATATGAATGCCCTTAGAAGCAGCAAAACCACCAACAAGTTAAGGGCACATGCTTAACCTCGAGGTATGCTACTCAGCAACTAATGAGTTGTAGAAGTTGTACCCTGTTCGTCAGTCCTTCAAATAAACCGTTTGTTATTAATGAAGAGGAAAAATACAGAGCAGGAAGTAAAGTGATTTAATATTGGCATTCACAGCTCAGTTATGGTATTGATCAGTGTTTTACTGTGGCTCTGACGTGGAGCACGGAGAACATGGCTGTCCACCCACTGGTTCAAGGCCTAGCCTCAGCTATAGCAAAACAGAAGGTTTGACCATATGAACAACTCATATCCAAATGTAAGGAAATAAGAACATTGCTAATTTGTTCTAACTTGGATTATTTATGTTTAAGTGAAACCTGGCTAACTACTAATATTCCTAATGATATGATTGATGTATCTGATATACATGTTTCAGAAAGGATAGGTAGGTCGAGGAGGGGAAGTATTAATTTATATTAAAAAAAATAATTTAAGGTCAATGAGATATTAATAGATGATCATATATTAATATATGTTTATGTATAAATGTTTGTCTTTCATCTCGTATGAATTTTAATATTATGGTAATGCACAGTCCTCCATCATATTGTAGCTATAATAGTTATAATTACTTAAAAGATTTGTTAATAGGATTCAAATACAACAATGATGAAATACTTTTGGGAGATCGTAATATAAACTAGATGGATGATAAATTGAAAAAAATCACTTAGAGATTTGACAGCAAAATTAGATTTTCATCAGTTAATCAATGGTCCCTCTCGCATCACCAAAAACAGTCAAACAGATTACATTTTTTTTTTTTTTTTCAAATAAACCTGTTCGAATCATAATAGCCTATAACTTAGTGTGTGGCTTATCCGACCACAATATCACTCTCATTGCAAGAAAATTACCTTGAAATAATTTTGTCAGTCATTACAATACAGAGAAGCAGATTATAATACAAATTCCAAGAAGGGATGTACCCAAATTTGAGGCCAAATTAGCAAGTGTGAATTGGGAAGAGGTTTCAAACCAGAATCAGATAAATAATTGCTGCAATACATATATTCTCAATGTTTGTAATACTATGGATATGTTTCTTAAAACTCTAAGGAAGAGATGAAGAAAAATACAGCTACCTTGGGTACCGGATGACATTCAGCAGTTAATGAAAAAGAGAGATTAAACCCTTAAATCTTTCATCAAAAACAAAAGGACCACAGAATGGCTGCTTTTTAAAAGTTTGAGGAACAGAGTAGTTAAAGAAATGTAAAATATCTAAGGGTAAATATTACAAAAATATTCTGTCAGAAGTAAGAGGGAACGGTTAGATGATCTGAAAACAATTAAAAAGTTTACTGAATCCCAATGCATGGATTAATTACAAATATAAACTTGCAGCAGCAAGCAAGTTTTTTTTACCTCTCTTCAGTTAAAGTTATTACCAGCGCCAATGGATATACATGGTACAAAATGTCAGGTTTCTGCCCACTGTTTAAGTTTATTTTTGGTTTCTTTGTTATTCTGTGTCCTTGTAGTTGTTTTCTGTCAGTTTTGTATATCTTATCCTCTGTTGCCCCCTTTGGCCTGTTTCCTTTCCCCTTGTCTCCATTCTAGTTAAGCCCCTGTCGCACCTTGACGATTTAGCCAGCGTACAGTATGCCTGACGTATGAAAAATCTGGCAAAAACACTGGCATACATTGCATAAGCACATGTATAATTTAGACGCTAATTTGTTGTTTTTAGATACAGCTATTTTCTATTATTCCTTAATATAACCTTTAACCCACATAGTTAACATTTCCATCAGAACAGGGCAATATCCTGCTGCATGGCAAAAAGCTTTGGCGAAACCGATTTTTAATTCAGGTAGTCCCCATGACATCAGTAACTACCGGCCAATAAGAGTTCTTCCGATCATGTCAAAACTGATGGAGACAATTATTCTAGAACAACTACTATTGTATTTAGAAAGTACCAATTTCCTGCATCCCCTTCAGTTTGGCTTCAGATATAATCATTCCACAGAGACTGCTATAAATCTGCTGCTTGAAAAGGTTAAACAATCACTTAACAGGGGATAAATCACTGAGCCAGTTTTCCTTAACTAGAAAAATGCTTTTGATACAGTGAATCACAATCTACTGATCTCAAAGCTT